CACAGTGACTTGCATTGTCTGAGCCCTGGGCAAGCCTGGTGTCACCAAGGGAACGGGAAGTGGCAATGTTTCTGCCAGAGCCTGGGCCACTCGGCTGGCCCTGGCAGTCCCTAGAGGAGCAGGAGCAGGTGTTGGGCGGGCAAATTAGCCACCAGCAGCCGAGGAAGATCCATGTGGTGCCTGCAGCCGCCTGGAGAAGGGCTGGGGGCCGGGTGGGAGCTGGTGGGGTGGAGCTTGTTAGCAGAAGCCATGGCCGCTTTCCCAGCCCGAGTCGCTAGTCAGTGCCTGGACCTTCCGGGCCTTCCTAGCACAAAGGAAACCTCCCTGGTCCTCTGGGAAGACATCCACAGACGGGGTCCTGGGCTGCGTTACTGGCTTTACTCATCGGAATAACACAGGCGGCAAAGTGCTGCACGTCTCCTCAATAAGCCATCAAGCCCAGAGATCCGGAAGGCGCTAGCTCAGATCACCCTCTGGGATCACCGCACTGGAGAGGCCACGGAATGCCAGCCGGTGCAGGGCCGCGGGAGCCCAAGCACTGATGTGGACTCCTGGGCAGTTACTGCCACGTCCACCTTTCTGTCCTGGTCCCCCATCACTTGAGGCTCAGCGTGCATTAACAGTGGCTGACTTTCAGAGCCCATGGGGGACCCCAGTGTCTGTCCAAGGCCCTGGCGAGCCCTGGGAGGGCAGTAGTGACTCGAGCCTTTGTACAGAGGCGTGGTGGACGGTGCAGGGCGCTGCCACTCACCCCGATCAAGGTGAGGAGCAGACGTCCCAGGCCAGGACCCCTGCGGGTCTCGGGCAGGAGCCCCTGACCTGAAAATGTTCCCAGGCTTTCTACCTCGGTAAGTTACAGGAATGGAAGGGTTTACCCAGCGCCTTTGTGGGATAAGGGAAAATACCGCCGGAAATGAGTCATTCCCCGGGAATGACAGGCTAATGAAGGGTTTAGTTGTGCTAACGGGAACAAATGGGAAGACTTCAATTCTGACTCAGCCAGAGGAGAGCCTCTCCAGAGGAGAGGCATCGGGGGCGTCAGCGAGCAGAGTGACCCCACATTCGCCCCACATGGGGTCTTCCTTCCCCCAGCTCCAGGCGCCACCCAGATTTCCTGGAACCGTCTCATCCAGCACTGGGGTCAGTGGGGCTCAGAAGATGGGAGTGGTTGTCCCCCATTGTTCCTTGTGCTTGCGGTGGGGCTGTTCCAACAGCCGATGTCTTCAGAAAGCAGCAGGCAGAAGACTGCCTCAGATGCCCCAGGAGACACCCCCAGAAACGAGGATTGACTCGCAAAGCGGCAGGCAGTGTGGCACTGTCAGCGGCTGACACGGAACTGTCCCGGCTCTCAATTGCCACTTCTTGACCCCACTCTCCCCCGTGCTGGGTTTTTCGGGGAGGTTCTCCTCTCCTTACCAAGATGGCTCCAGCAGCTGCCAGCTCCTTCCAGAGCAGCTGACGGCCCAGAAGAAGGAGCACCTCCTCCCCAAACACCCAGCACGAGTCCCAGGGCAGATGCTCATTGGTCTGGCTGAGGTCATGTGCCCACCCCTGACCAATCCTGGCTGCCGACATACAGAGCCCGAGCGGCACGAACAGGGTCCAGCTCTGGACCCCACCGAGTCACAGGGTCTGAGTGTGGGGTGAGGGTGCACCCCCAAGGGAAAACCAGTGCTGTCCCAGAAAGATCTGTGACAGATGTTTTCCGTAAAGAAGAGAAGTTTTGTTTGTTTTCAGTTCATCAAAAAGTGGACCCAAAATTAAGGTATCCAAGGAAAAGTCCCCCAGAAGTAACAGAGAAGCCCTGAGGGTGTTCACCAGTGTCCAGGGGGGTCCTTGGGTCCTGGAAGTGTCTCAGGTGCCTGACTAGGGCTGAAACCAGCTCCAAACTCTGCCTCATGCCATCTGCCCACGTTGCCACATCCACCTGATTTGTAACTGGGCTCCCAGGTGGGACTTCACTGGAGAAATGACTTTTAAACAAACTCCTGCGTTGGAGATAATTGTGGATTCACATGCAGTTGTAAGAATCCTGCAGAAGGACCCGCCCCCTTCACGCGGCTTCCCCACTGAGAGCATGTGGGCAACCACGTCCAGCACCACACCAGGGTCCCGACGGCCATGCCATGCATCCCCCGTAGCCAGGTTTCACAGGTTCATCTGCACCCATGTGTGTGTGTGTGCAAATGTGTGTGTGTGAGTGCATGTGAGCATGTGTGTGTTGCATGGGTGTGAATGCATGTGCTGGTGTGTGTAAGAAAATGTATGTGAGTGTGTGTGAGTGTATACATGTTTATGTGTGTGTATGAGTGTATGTATGAGTATGTTTGTGTGTACATGTTTGTGTGTATGTATGAATGGGCATGTGTGTGTGTATGTGCATGTGAGTGTGTGTACATGCTTGTATGTATGTGTGTGTGTGTATGTGTGGGTGAGCATGTGAGTGTTGAGTATGTGTGAGTGTGTGTGACCATGTTTGTATGTCCCTGTGTATGTGCCTGTATGTGTGAGTGAGCATGTGTGTGTGTCCATGTGTGAGTGAGCATTGTGTGCATATCTATGTGTGTCTGCGTGTCTCCTCGGGCTTGTCTGCTTTTGATTGCATAGGGATCTTCAGTTTGCAACCCCATCTTTAAAAGGACAAGTCCTGCCCTTTGAACTTGACCTTGCCGAGAAGGGCTCAGTGACAGGTTAAAAACAGCAGCTGCTGCCCTCTGGCCTGTGCCGAGTGCCCTGGTAGTCTGCACTGCCCAGCTCTCACCCAGGAGAACTGGGCTGCGTGGCAGCATCACGTTCCTTAGAGGCAGTCCCTGCTGCTCTGCCCTGAGGACCAGACCAGGATGCATCCCTACAGGCTCCAGTGCAAAGGATGCACCTTCCACTAGGGACTGGGTGGCAATGCCATCACCAAAACACAATGGCTAGAATTTAGACAGAGGACAGACACACGGCTACAGGCTAGAAGATGGACAGATGGACAGATGGATGATGATAGAATGGATGGATGGATGGATGGATGATGATAGGATGAATGATGATAGGATGGATGGATGGATGAATGGTGATAGGATGGATGATGATAGGATGGATGGATGGATGGTGATAGGATGGATGATGATAGGATGGATGGATGGATGGATGATGATAGGTAGATAGACAGATAGATAATTGATGGACGATAGATGGATGCACAGACAGATAAAAGATAGAAAGAAGATGGACGGATGACAGAAGATGGAAGGATGGATGGATGGATGATGGATGAAATGGTGGATGGATGGGTGGGTCGATGGATGGATGGGTGGGTGGGTGGATGGGTGGATGGATGAAGGAAGGAAGGAAAGGTGGGTGGATGGATGATAGATGATTGAGAGAAGATGGATGGATGCCTAGGTAGGTAGATAGGTAATTGATAGACAGACAGACAGTAACTGCCGTCGAGTC